GAGATCCCCCGACATAACACTCCCAGGTCTTGACGTTGGTGTTTCGCTCTTATTTTTTGGCCAAATTTGTTTTGTCTCTGTGAAGATTTAATTTCCTCATGTTTTTCCATATTGAGTAATTGAAATTTCTCATGTTGAACTTCATATTTTTTTCTGCAGCCCCTGAAAAATTTGGTTGATGTCCGCCCGGACCTTGCAGTGTCTGCAATGGAAGACATTTGCAGATTCGGGTTCATTGCAAAGGAAGACACGGTGCTGTGGCTGACATCCTTGCTATGTCGGATATGGGATGGGGAACAGAGGGGCTAGTACGTGCCTTGTGGAAAAAAGAGTTTTTCACCGTAGCTGCCTCGGATTTTCCTCTTTTTGACGATACCTGTGTTTGTTAGTGAGGAAATTATAGCCCATCGCCCAATTTTTCCTGTTTTTCCCTTTTTAGCGCGAAATTTTTGCGCTTTACCCCAGGGTCACATTTGTCGAAGGCTTTAAAAAGTCTGTTATTTTACTCTCATTTTTTTGTCTTTAGTGCATTTGGATTTTGTGTAGTGATCCAGTAGTTGAGACAAAGGACGCCCTTTCTAAACCCTGTTGCCCTGGGTTGTGTAACTGAGGGTTTTAGAGGGGTGGTGATCTTGCTTTTTAGGCCCTTTCAAAGATTTTATGTTGGGGGTGTTAGGGTATTGGGCTGTGTTCTTTTTCTGTGCTTTTTTGCCCCCTTTGTGGGTGGGGCTAGTCTGTTGTTTTTAGTAACTGAGGGGCGACCCCCCTGTCCCATCTCCTCTCCCTAGGTGGAAAAGGCTCGTGATAGGGGGTTCTTTCAGTTCTTGTGAACACAAGTTCATGAGTCGGCCCTGGGGGGTGCATGGGCATGTCATTTATCGCCTGGGTTCGAAGTCATTTGGCTTCAGGAAAAATTTGGATAGGGTTGTTTTAATCAAATTTTTTGGTCTTCATAAAAAAAAATTTTTATTTCGACTCTCAGTTGGTTAGCGGGTTGCAAAAAAATGAGCATATTGGGGACTTGAGTAGCTCACTCATTTTCCCTTTCGTCATCTGGTAGGACCCATTTGTTTTAAATAGGGGGCCCCAAAACTGGACGTTTTTTCCGATTTTGTTTGGCATAGGAAAGAATCTTTGGGTTTCTTTCGATTTTATTTTGGTTTTAGTTTTCCCCCGATTCCTGACTCCTAAAGGATTCTTTTAGCTTAAAAGTTCGATGCTTGCTATTTCTCTGACCAGTGTCTCCCTGCGCATTTGATTTTAATTGACCTCTTTTAGCCGCTCTGTTATTCTTTTCGTCCCCTGTAAAGGAGCGCCTGTCTCTTTCTATTTTACTCTACTCCTCCTTTTTCTTAGAGGAATAACCCTTGGCATACATCGAGTGCCACCGAGTTAATCTGTTTTAGGCAAAAGTTTGGGTCTGTGTTGCTTAGTATATTTCCCCACTTATATCGGTTAGGACTTGGTTTACTTGGTCCCACTTTATGTTTTTGTTATTGAATTGAATTTGGTGAATGCTCCTCGGACTAGTTCATTGTCGGTCGGGGGGGTCCACGCATACATGTCTGAGCCTAAATTATGTTGTGATCTGAGTATATTGTTTTTGATATGTGACATTTCTTATCAGATCATCATTGTTAGTGAAAAATGGGGTCTAGTGTATTCTCCAGTCTAGTAGGCTCTATTATTTGCTGGTTTAAAATTTAATTTTGTCAGAGATTTAAAAAACTCGTGTGAGTGTGAGTTTTCATCAGAGCTGCCTCCTGGTGTTATTACTGCAACAATATATTTGCTATATTCCCCATTTTAGGTGCCCTTAAGTTGAAATCCCCAGGAGCAAGATGTTGGGTGCAGGAGCTGGGAAGATTTTCCAGACAGTGGTCAATTTTTAACAGCTGTTCCTGGAATTGCTGGGATGTTGCATCCGGAGGGTTGTAGACTACCACAATGACTAGGTTTTGGTTCTCGACCTTTACTGCTAAAACTTCACTACGTCATTTGGGCATAAGCAGTTCTGTGGGAAACAAGTGACTCTGCAATGTACAGGCCAACCCCCCCTTTTGCCTTTTTCACTCTGTCACATCTGTATAGGTTGTAACCTGGGATCCATATTTCGTTGTCCAAGTGATCCTTTATGTGGGTCTCAGTGAAAGCCGCGAACATTGCCTTTGCCTTGCAAGCAGTCCACGGATGAAAGGTTTTTTGTTGTTTATTGCTGGCTTTAGACCCTGTATATTTGCAAAGAAGAATGTCATCGGACGGGTGGTTTTTGTTGGTACTGGGGGGGGATTTTTTTCCGGCATTAGTATTGTATCTGTTGGTTTGGAGTGGGGCCATCGACTGTGGTTCCACTCCAGGAATGACTGGATTTGGTGTACGATTTTCTGCCATTTCCTGCCGTTTTTTTCCTTTCCCTGGCACTAAAAACCTCCCTCTTGAGTGGCTTTGGCTACCCGGGTTTTTCCCCATGGCCTGGATGTTTTGTATCTTTTGTCCCCTTTAGATGGTATGCCTGGCAATTTTAAGTTATAGCACAGTCTTTCTGTACTGAAGAGGTACACATTTCAGGGTGAAAAAGCTTACGGGAAAGGGGAAATTTTGCATTTTCCTTTTTGTCATATGGGCATGACATTTTCTAGGGTGGTCTTTAGTTGCATGTCCCATCTGTTTTTCAGATTTCCATTGCCAGCAGATACCAAGTGCATAGTATGTGCACAGGCTTGGTTTCGTTTGCCTTGGGTTTCTGTGACTGTTTTCCCTGTTGGTGCATGTTTCCCTGTCTTATTCCCTATCCTCCTTAGCACCAACAATGGAGCTCCCCCCAGTTGTTTTTGGTAATTTTATCCTCACTATTGCTATTTGAGTCCTCTTGTTTGCTTTTTCCCTGCGGTATTTCTGGTTTGCAATTTTGGGTTTTATCTTATCTTTGACTACACTTGTTTCCCTACTATGGCTCCTGTCCTCTATGAGGTCATTTATATGTATTCCTTCCTGCGTATAATTCCGACTATCTGGACAAAATCTCCAGCTTCACCTTTACTGCTACCAGGACGTATCTCCAGCTTCACCATTTCTGTCTCCCAGGACAGCACCTCCAGCTTCACCATTACTGTCTCCCAGGACAGCACTATCAGCCCCACATTTACTGACTACCAGGACATCACCTCCAGCCTTACAGTTTGTGACTACATGGCCAGTATCAAGGGCAGTACCATTCAGCCCGGACTTTTTTTTGTTCCCATCTGTTGTGGAAGCTTCCAGGTTTTCTATGAAAGCAGCTTTGATGTTATCCCCTTTTAATACCTTGTGATTTTTTGTCCACAGATTTTTCCCCATTTGGGCATACCCAAAACACTTCTCTGTTTTAATACTGCTTGTAGCTAGTTCTGGGATATCTGCACAAGGGGCGATGACACCAATTTCCACAAAAATGACAATTTATCCATGTGGTAGCCCCTTTGTTTGACTGACCACAGACTACACACAGTTCATAATGATTTGATGGTTGATTTACTGCAAGTCTACTAGCAACCTCTTGAATATTATATTAATAACCTTAAATGAAGCTCTAGCTATTTTTATTTTTGTTTCTAACTATTTTTGTATATTGGACAGCTTACCGTCCGTTCCTGATTTTTAATGTTTGTGTTTATAAGGGCGCCCACAAACCCATTTCCCTTTACAGTCTGCTTTATTGTCCAACGAAAAATGTTTGAAACCAGTCCGGGTTCGGACCAGTCAAGGGTTCGGACCAGTCGATCTGCTTGATCAGTGGGTCACTTATTTAAAAACATACTGGTCGGTGATTTGAGCTAACACATGAAGGATCTACTGGAATTATCTACCCGAGTTTAAAATTTTGATTTGGGCTGATACAAAAATATAACTTGCGTGTTGAAGAGCCCGGGGATATTGGAGCTCCTACAATGACGTACAGTCGACCTCTTTGTTTATCAATCGCTGTATCTGGCTTTTCTATTTTTGTTTTTCGTCTCCACCACAATAATGCTATATTATCACTATAGTTGACTGGTGCAAATTTTGGAGGAAGGCGCTTTTTCTGTAGTAATAATTGCTTCTCGTTGGGGTATATTGCGACCGGGTGGTAACTACGGTTATATGAAATTCACAGTAACGTCTCGTATTTCAAGAAAATGAAACTAATGAAAGTCACTCCACTCCCTAAGTACCCTTATAATACGGTTAGTTGCTACTACAACACTGTATTCTGCTATTCACTGGTATCACTAGATTATATGCGAGTACACTAGCAGGCCAGGAAGATTATTAAAAAACAGCTGACCTGTGGTAAGTTTCTGGCGACTTTGGCACCTGCCTCTATAGGCTTTCACTTCTTTTAAACAAATTCACCTGTTTTCAAATGACACTTTAGCCTTTATCATCAATATACTGGGGAGCCACTGTAGTATACACTTACACTATGTATACTCAATGCTTTCAGGGAGATTTCTCTCCTCTGACACAACGTTCAAATATTATTATTTTTTCACACGGGAAACAGGCCTATGATTCCCCTCTGGCAGTAAACTCTGCTAGGTAATGCACACTAATTCTCCTTTTTTGACTCAGTATATAATGTTTTCCGCCCAAGATTGGTTCCAGGCGCTAGAGGGATGTATCGTATAGGATTGATGACACAAATTAAAGTTCTAGCACGTAAGAGCGACCGTGAAAACACCAGAAAGCCGGGAGCACAACGAGGCACGCTGACGGCTGGTATACCTGACAACATGTATCAGAGAATATTTCTTCAATCTAAGTGAAATAGATGAAGCTGTGGAGGTAAACTCCAGTCACAGTCTAGAATAGGTAAGAAAGAGTGCAAGAGATTAGGAATCAGTAATTCCGGTCTTTAAGAAGTTAGAAGAGCGGGATCAAGATCAAACACTCAACCCCTGCCAACATATATCAGTGAGTACACACGACAGTACCTTGTTTCGCATTCATTTTTAATAGTATTCTTGTCTTTCCCGTCACAGTACCGGTGTGACCCTGGATATTGGTCGTATTGGGAGACTAAGAACATTGTGGTACGTCGGTGGATTCTGCGGGTCACCTGCTACGACTCGCGACGCATCTGGGTCTCTGAAGACGGTACCAAACCCCTGGACTTACCATACTGCAGTGAGTAATTGAGGAAGGCACGACATGCCTCTCTGTATGTCAACCATCTAAGGAATTAGACATGTGCAACACCTGGGTATCTTTATTGGAAGGCATTTTGTCTACCAGTGTTTTCTTTTTTAATTCAATACAGAGATGATATACGAAGACAGTAGGAGATGAAAGTCATTTCCTACGTACTTGAACTCGAACTGTGTATCGTACACAGAAAACAGGGGAAGATGAGATAATCAGTCCCACAGCTGGAAGTAGGTGTTCAGTACTAAGTTACTGGACACAGGTTTCCAGACAGAGACTGATCAACTTATCTTCCACTGTCTTCTGTGTATAGTTCTGCGAGGCTGAGGGCGGCTATTACTCGTTCTCCTAACTTTTAAATCATTGTAAAAGTTGCAAACTGTGTTCGGGACCCTAATTAAAATTTATATGACAGTTGCAGCAGTGAAAGACCACACATGTTTACTTTGACATCAGGCCCATCATGAAGTACACTTATCATGCAGCGTTTCAGTCATGCAGTGCATCTGTCCATGCAATGCATCTGTCATGCGTGAATTCTCTTGCAGATGCATCTCTCATGAGTGCATACTATGCATGTGCATCTGTATGTAAAAACAAATCGTCACGTGTTTTATAGTTTGCTCATTCACTCGTGTCACCATTCTCGGGCAGCAGAGTGTTTGGGACTGTAGTAAAGGCAAATATGCCCAGAGATTTTAGGCATTTAGTTCAACCGTGCTGCTCAGACAATAAGATTTACCTGGCGATAAACACAAGTTTAATTCCATCTCACCAAAAAAGGATTCGAACACATGGCAGGCCAATGCGTTATCCACTGTACCATGCCGACTTAACACCGAACCAAACTGTGACCAGAGGTCTGGTAAGTAGGGAAAGGAAAAAGGTCGGGGAAGAAAGAAGTCGACGAAGGAAGTGTGGAGACGAAAGGATGAGGAGAGAGATAAAAAGACTCATCCAACTAGCTGTGGTTTACCAAAGGTTCGAAACTTCAGTCAGTGAGTTGTTTACTACGATTTACTACAATTTCGCGAATCATTCACTACGACCTTGAAGGGACATGAGTATAGCGCCTTATTTCGCGCATATGTCGAGCACTTATACCGTGATCCAACTGGTGGATGTAATCACTGTTATGAGCATGGAGAGCCCTTAAACCCATCGGGCTCATCCAGCATCTGAAGAATGGATGATAATCAGGTCTGACAAAAAATAAGAAGGTAGCTCAGTTCTTGCATCCAGAGCCCTTACCTGATATTAAGGAATACCACTTGAAATGGGTGGAGATGCGAGCAACAGTGGATCACCTCGACACCTTAAACTGCGTCTGTTGCTAAAATAGTAAAAGTTAAATAAAATTATTAAAACTGGTGGGTTAATGAGGCTTACAGCCTATCGATTACACTAGGGTCATTAAGGCTGCACGTAACCTTGTCATCAATAGTCGAGAAAACTAATATTTTTATATAAACGCTGAGGGAAATGCACCTCTCGGTGTACATATCCTTTACCGAAAATAAAATTATTTCAATAACACCGCAGACTCGATAAAAACGGTACGAGGCTAACATAAAATTAATATTGTATGTTCCTTTACTTGTTTTTCTCTCTTCCTGGACAGTATACAGTGGATCAGCTGTAGTGTTGCCCTGCAGTGTCCAGCTCCTGGTCGTGGTTGCCATCCTCTCCTGGTTGCTCACTTTTATTGCTCGTCTGCACACTGGTAGGTGGAAGCCTCATCTACATATTCCACATTGGCACATGATAAATTCTTCTACATACTCCACACCGGCAGATGGAAACCTCGTCTACTTACTCCACACTGGTAGATGGTAACCTCGTCTACTTACTCCACACTGGTAGATGGAAACCTCGTCTACACACTTCACACTGGTAGATGGAAACCTCATCTACACACTTCACACTGGTAGATGGTAACCTCGTCTACTTACTCCACACTGGTAGATGGAAACCTCGTCTACTTACTCCACACTGGTAGATGGAAACCTCGTCTACTTACTCCACACTGGTAGATGGTAACCTCGGTTCTACTTACAGTACACTGGTTAGATGGAACTCGCTCTATTACTCACACTGGTAGATGGAAACCTCGTTCACTTGACCTCACAATGGTAGATGGAAACCTCGTTTACGTACCCCACAATTGGTAGATGGTAACTCGTCTACGTACTCCACACTGGTTAGATGTGAAACCTCGTCTACTTATTCACACTGGTAGATGGAAACCTCGTCTACTTACTACACACTGGGGTAGATGGTAACCGTCTATTACTCCACACTGTTAGTTGGAAACCTCGTCTACACACCCCTCCACACAGTAGATGCAAACCTCATCTACACACTTCACACGGGTAGATGAAAGCCTACGTACTCCACTTTTATTTTAATCTTAGATATCAGTAATAAAAAAAAGACAAAATACAGTTCAGATTATTTTTGTATCCGAGTAGTTGTTAAATATGTATTTTTTTTATTAGGACATGCTTGTTATCTTGCCTAATATAATCAACGATCTTTTTTTTTCCCGAGTTGTAAAATTCATGTTGAAAATTCTGTGAAAGTCAGGCTATCACGAAAATGAATACTTCACTCTTATGTTAAAATATTCCTATTTAGTTGAACCGAAAATGCGTTGGTTGAGATAAAGTTAATTTTTTGCTAAGTGAATATGATACAAAAAAAAAAAAAAATTTTGCTTATCTGGACGCATTCTCCCTGAGATGGTCATCTTCAAAACTGACAGTTCTTCGAGTACTTGTTCTGACACAGCTGGTGTGGAATTAATGCTCATAACAATATCGATGTAATGAGGACTCACTTCAGCCAGAGTGAGTCCCTTATATAACACTCAGTCATTATACTACTGGCGTCATTATGTGGTGGACGTGCTCGAAAAATTAATGCATTCAGAGACAACTCAAATAGAAATGTTCAAGATATGTCAAGTATTTTATCCACAGTGGTATATTATAGATCAGTCGGGATCTATAATTAAAGCATTACCACACGTGTTGTGTGTGTTGTGTGTGTGTGTCGTGTGCGTGTGTGTTGTGTGTGTGTGTGTTTGAGTGTGTGTGTGTTTGTGTTGTGGTGTGGTGTTATGAGTGTGTGTGTGTGGGTGTGAGTTTGTGTGTGTTAGAGTGTGTGTGTGTGTGTTTGTGTGTGGTATGAGTGTTGTGTTATGAGTTTGTGTGTGTGTGTGTGTAAGTGTGTGATGTGTGTGTGTGTTGTGTGTGGTGTGTGTGTGGAGTGTGTGTGTGTTGTGTGTGTGTGTGTGTGTTGTGTGTGTTATGTGTGTGTGTGTGTGTGTGTGTTGAGTTGTGTGTGTGTGTGTTATGGAGTGTGTGTGATGTGTGTGTGTGTGTGTGTGTGTTATGTGTGCTGAGTGTTGTGTGTGTTATGTGTGTGTGTGTGTGTGTGGTTATGGAGTGTGTGTGTGTGTGTGTGTTATGAGTGTTTTGTGTGTGTGTGTTTGTGTGTGCTATGGTGTGTTAATGAGTGTGTGTGTGTGTGTGTGTTGTGTGTGTGTGTGTTGTGTGTTGGTGTGGTGGTGTGTGTGTGTTTGTGTGTGTGTGTGTGTTATGTGTGTGTGTGTGTGAGTGTGTTGTGTGTGTTATGTGTGTGTGTGTGTGTGTGTGTGTGTGTGGTGTGTGTGTTTGTGTGTGTGTATGTGTGTGTGTACTCACCTAGTTGTACTCACCTAGTTGAGGTTGTAGGGGTCGAGTCCGCTTTTTTTCCTGATGACCTCGGGGTTTTCCCTCCTTGTCTCCTTTCCTAGCCCCCTTTTGCTTTTTTGTCCTTCCCCAGTGCTGTCGTTCTTTTTTGGGGTTCTGTCTCGTCTAGGAACACCTCTTGTACTCTTCCATATTTGACGGGTTTCTCGGGGAGGTCCTTTTCCCGCCTGTTTCCGCCCTGGAATCAGCTTGATCAGTCGGTTTCCCCCCTTCGGTCCCCCCCTATTTCTAAAAAAAATTTAAATCTCGTCCATCTTTTCACCTATTTCCGTGTGATTTTTCAATCCCCTTTTCTTTTTTCCCTGCTGCCTTTCATGTGTGTTTTTACTCACTATTTTACTCCCCTATTTTGGGGGGCAGGGGTGGGCTTAGCCCCGGCCCCCGCCTTTTCCCACCGTTTTGCTATGGGCCCTCTCTCTCCCCTCCCCTGATTTTATCAAACCCGTTTAAAACTGGTAGGGTTCCTGCCTCCACTTGTATTTTCTAGGCTAAAACCACTGCTGACACTCTTGACTGAAGAAATATTCCTAATATCTCTCTGACTCATCGGGTTTTCAGTTTCCAATTGTCTGTGGTGTGTTGTGTTGTGTGTGGTGTGTGTGGGGTGTGTGTGTGGGTTTTTGTGTGTGTTGTGTTTGTGTGTGTGTGGTGTGTTGTGTGTGTGTGTTTGTGTGGTGTGTTTTGTGTGTGTGGGTGTGGTGTGTTGTGTGTGGTGGGGTTGTGTTTTTGTGTGTTTGTGTTGTTGTGTGGTGTGTGGGTTGGTGTGTGTGGGGTTTTGTGTGTTTGTGTGTGTGTGGTTGTGTGCATGGTGTGTATATTTGTATGTGTTGTGTGTGTGTGGTGGGGGTGTACTCACCTAGTTGTACTCCCTAGTTGGGGTTGGGGGGTCGAGTCCGAGCCCCGGCCCCCCCTCTTCACTGACGCTACTAGGTCATCCCCCTGAACCGTGGTTTATCATCCCTTGCTTAAAGCTTGTATGGTCCTGCCCCCACTAATCGCTTCCCCAAACTTTCCACTTTGATCCCTTTTGGGGCTGAAGAAAACTTCCCTAAATCCCTGTGTTTTATCTGGTCTTAATTTCCAATGTGCCCCCCTTTGTACTGTGTCCAATCTCGGGAAAATCCTGTCTTTGTCCCCCTTTCAATTCCTTCAGTATTTTGTAGGTTTTATCATGCCCCCCCTATCTCTCCTGTCCCCAGTGTCGTAAGGTTGATTTCCCTTCCCCCTTCCTCGTAGGACATACCTCATAGTCGGGCTAGTTTGTTGCAAACCTTTCCCTTTTTCTCTATTTTCTTTATGGGCTTGGAGGTGGGGGTTTCCAAAACTGGTACCGCATACCCAATTGGGCCTAACGAACCGGTTTTTTTACAGGGTCCTGAACGATTCCTTATTAAGATGTCGGAATGCTGTTTGGGGTTTCCCTAGGCGCCCTATGCGCAGCATTATTTGGTTGATGTGCGTCAGGAGATGTGCCTGGTTTTATACTCACCCGAGTTTTTTTTCCTTGAGTGGGGTTTGTGTCTCTGGCCCCCCCTAACTTAACCCCGTTGGGTTTCTTTGCCCTTCCCCAATTTTCATGATTTTCCCCTTGGTGGGATTGAACTCCAGGAGCCAATTGCGGACTAGGTTGCAGGCGTCCAGATCCCTTTGTAGTTCTGCCTGGTTTCGATCGAGTGAATTTCTTCTCCAACTTCACGTCATCTCAAACAGGGGCACCTCAGAGTCTATTTCCCTTTCCCTCTTCGTTCACAAATTCCGAAACGATGGTCCTGGGGCGACCCTGTGGGACCCCGTGGCACAGGGGCCCCCCTCTGACACCCCCCGCCCCGTACCCTGACTCGCTGCTGTCTTCCTGACAATATTTCCCCGATCCTTTTTAGTGCCTTTCCCGTTATCCCGCTTGGGCCCCCAGTTTTTGCAAATCTTTGTGTGGGAAATGTGTCAAACGCCTTCTTGTGTGTGGTTTTGTGTGTGTGTTGTGTGTGTGTGTGTGTGTGTGTGTGTGTGTGTGGTGTGTGTGTATGAGTGTTGTGGTGTGTGTGGTGTGGTGGTATAGTATGTGTGTGTGTGTGTGTGTGTTATGGTGTAGTGTTATGTGTGTGTTGTGTGTGTATTCACCAATTGTGGTTTCAGGGGGGAGACTCGCTCCTGGCCCCCCCCTTTCACTGTCGTACTAGGGCCTCTCCCTCTCTGCTTCCCGAGCTTTGTCATACTCTTCTTAAAATATGTATGGTTTCCCGCCTCCATACTTCCTTGCTAGACTTTTTACTTCCTGAGACTCTATGACTAAGAAATACTTTTTCCCAAATCCCCGGACTCCTGAGTCTTTAGCTTCCCCAATTTTTGCCCCTTTTTCTGTGTCCCCTTCGGAACATCCTGTTCTGTACACCTTGTCTTTCCCCCCCCCGTAAATTTTTAGTCGTATCATGTCTCCCTGACCCTTCTGTCCTCCAGTGTCGTCAGTCCGATTTCCCCCAAACCCTTTTTTCTAGGACATTACCCTTAGATCTGGAACTAACCTTGTCACAAACCTTTGCACTTTCTCTAATTTTTGACGTACTTGATCAAGTGCGGGTTTCCAAAAAGGTTTTCTGCATACTCCAGTAGGGCCCCGACGTCACGGTGTCAGTGTCTTGAACGATTCCTTATAAGGTATCGGAACGCTGTTCTCAGGTTTGCCAGGCGCCCATATGCTGCAGCAGTTATCGGAAACATGCTCGGTGTTTTACTCACTCCAAGATCTTTCTCCTTGAGTGAGGTTTACAGTCTTTGGCCACCTAGCCTATACTCCGTCTGCGGTCTTCTGTACCCTTCCCCGATCTTCAGGATTTTGCATTTGGCGGGGTTAAATTCGAGAAGCCAGTTGCTGGACCAGGTGTCCAGCCTGTCCAGGTCTCTTTGAAGTCCTGCCTGATCCTCATCTGATTTAATTCTCCTCATTAACTTCACATCATCTGCGAACAGGGACACTTCTGAGTCTAACCCTTCCATCATGTCATTCACATATACCAAAAATAGCACTGGTCCTAGGACCGACCCCTGTGGGACTCCGCTCGTCACAGGTGCCCACTGTGATACCTCATCACGTATCATGACTCGTTGTTGCCTCCCTGTCAGGTATTCAACCCACCCCTCTCTCTCGTGTCTTACTTCTGTTACTTTATCATAAAACTCCAGAAGGTTTGTGACAGGATTTTCCTTCCATGAATCCATGCTGGTTGGCGTTTATACTCTTGTTCCGTTCCAGATGCTCCACCACTCCTCCTGATAATCTTCTCCATAACTTTGCATACTATACACGTCAGTGACACAGGTCTATAGTTTAGTGCCTCTTTTGTGTCTTTTTTTTTTAAATGGGAACTACATTTGCCGTCTTCCATACCTCAGGTAGTTGCCCAGTTTCCAGGGATGTGTTGAAGATTGTGATAAGTGTGTGTGTGTGTGAGTGTTGTTGTTGGGATGTGTGTGTGTGTGTGTGTTGTGTGTGTGTGTGGTGTGTGTGTGTGTGTTGTGTGTGTTGTGGTGTGTGTGTATTGCTAGCAAGTGATTTTGCTTGGTGTTGCTTGAACAAGTGTGGTCTGCCTGACATGATGGTAACACTCCATCTTCCTGCCTGATATAACGAGTAAGTAAAACTCAGGGAGAAGCGCTAAAACCATAGGGGTCATAAGGCGCTGGGGAAAAGTTTCCTCACGTGTGATACCTGTATTGCTGAAGAGTTCTTATTATCACATGAGAACGCTAAACCCGTAGGGGTTATATAGCTCTTGGGGAGTGGGAGGAGTGACCTCAAGGGAGCTGAAGGAAGGGCTCTTGATCCAAGGAATTGGACGTGTTTTGTCCTTCCTTGAACCTGATTTCCTCCCCTCTCCCAAGCGCTCTGCGACGCCTAAAGGTTTAGCCCTTCACTTAAATATAATAATAATAATAATAATAATAATAATAATGGTGAACCGGGGTAATAAGGCTTAATCCATGGAATTGGAGGCTTCGTCCAGCTACTTGTATCAGAAGTCCTCCTCCATCATAATACCTTCAGTTTATTAAATTAAGTAAAATAATGGTTTCGTCATGAGATGTTCCTTGAGGGGCTCTTGATCCAAGGAATTGGACCAATCCTCTTTCTTGAATCGAACTTGATTGCCTCCCATTCCCTATGCGGTGCATAACTCCTACTGGTTCAGCACTTCCTCTTGACAATAATAAGAAAATATAAACGGAGGAACCACTGCAGCAGGCCTATTAGCATTATTACGACGTATGCTTTATTGCAAACACTTGTATACTGTTGACTTAAAATTTCTGCACTGACCTGTATCTGCAGCTTCTCCGACCATAATATCATCCTATTCAGGTCATTCTTCAAGTGTCCACATCAGAAATTATTTGACGGCCTATTTCACTGTCATCGGCAAATTTACTCGTGTCGCTTTTTATTCCCTCATCAATGTTGTTTATGTCAGCTATGAACACTGGCCCCTGTGGCACAACACTAGTAACAGGTCCCCATTCTGATTTCGCTCCATTAATGAAAACTCTCTTGCCTATCTGTCATTCCTGAATCGACTCAGGAGATAATTTCCATGTGCTGCTACTGTCTTAATCAGTATCCTCTGTGAAACTTTATTAATGGCCTTACTGAAATCCATATACACAATCTCGTATTCTTTATCTTGATCTACCGCCTCGAACACCTTAATAAAAAAAGGTTAATAAATTCGCAAGGAAAGAACACCTTTTTATAAAGCTGTTTTTCGACTTGTTGATCAAATTATACCTTTCAAGGTGGCTTAGGATTGCATCAGTAGTTATTGATTACATCAGCATTCCCACAATTGAATTGAGGCTGAATGTTCTATAATTTGAAATTACGAACTTATCTCCCACTTTGTAAATGGGTATCACACATGCCAATTTCCATTTATCTGGTACGATACCTACTCGTAGTTGTATGTTGACCTGGGTTACATTTAATTAAGTATGCCTCTCTTTTTTCTAATCTTATTCCTATATACCTATATATGATTGGTCTTTAATTTCCTTGCAACCTTAATTTCATATTCTCTTTTAGTTTTCCTTATTCTTTTTGTTTATTTCTCTCTCTTAATTAAACTGAATATATAGTTGATTAAGGTGACCCTCGCCTCTTCTGATTCATTCAAGAGATGTTTGAGTCTTTTTATCCATTTAGAGTTGTTCATATATTATCTAAATTCTCTATTAGGACTATGTGTAGTATGACAGTCCCTAGTTAAGCTACCTCAGTCCACACTTCTCAAGTAATCTCTTAACCCCATGTAATCTGCAGTCCAAAAATTATTACTATTATTTAGGTAATATCATGAGATATTAAAACTAATTTGTGATCACTAATTTTAAATAATGATGGTGCATAACGCTAAGAGAAGCTACTTCAGTAAATAAAGTAAATAAAAAATTATAAATAAATTATAGTGTGTTGGGTAAAAAGTAATAAGAGTAATGATAATAAACTAGCGTAGATAATAAAGTTTCCAGTTTTAGTGATTAATATGTATCCTCTCGAGGAAGGTGCCTCTATGCCGTCGAGGTTCTTGATCCAAGGATTGGACTGAACCTGATTGCCTCCCATACTTTCAGGCGTTGTATAATCCCTAAGGGTTTTGTGTTCTCCACATGAATGATAATGTATAGTGTGAATGCGTTAAGTATGAGTCATGATGAGAACACTAATCGTAGCCATGAACTAAATTCACCGCACTTCCGGCTGGCAACATGCTTCGTGTTAAGAACACCTTCATGCTGTTGAAGGGCTCTTGATCCAAAAAATTTAATCCACACCTCTTTTCCTCAGACCAAACCTAATTACCTTCCATTCCCCCAGGCACTGTATGACCTTTAAGGGTTTAACACATCATAAATATGTAAGCAATGACAATAAATGTGGAGTAGGTGGTGTGACATTTACCACACAAGCAGACAAGAAAGGATGTAGAATAGCCTAAGGCTCCACGATGACCGTCAGTCCTCAAGGATGCAAGGTGTTAGTGAGTGTTATATATCTGGAATTATTTTTATGCTAGAGTGAGCATTTTTGTTGTATTAACCTAGTGGCACTACCGTAAATTATACTACTAAGCTTCAAGTACCCGAAGGTTTCAGTTATAATTGAACGTTAATTAAACAATGCATATTCAGCTAGAGCACTTTTAGCTGAGTATGCTGCACTTCACTTAAAAAAGTTATGGTTGTCATTTTGGTTGCTTTATAAGTTTTAAACGAGTCTAGCACTTTCTTGTGAATATAATAATACATGTAACTAGAACTGAAGTCTATCATTTGCACTTGGATAATTAACTCTGTTATGTTACCGGTACAATATCAGTCAAGGATACTTTAATATCTAAATTAAGGATTAAAGTAAACTCTTTGCATATGCAGTGAGAGATACACATCTCTTGCATACTTTAGATGGCTGCCACTTCATAAATCTAACCTATTTTTAAGTAATTCAGTGAATTGCAGTAATTACATTTCATTAAAAAACATTGTATATGCAAATTATATGTATTATCCTTTCGATATTGTAATAACAATTTTAGTCACATATTTTGAAAAATTATATCTGGCAAATCATTATTATATTATAATCAAGGGGAAGCGCTAAACCTGTAGGATTATACAGCGCCTGTGGGGGGATGTGGAATTATTCAGGCTTAATTCAGGGAACTGGAACACAGATCCAGTTCCCTAGATCAAGAGCCCCTCACCAGCGTCAAGGAGCCTCCCTTGAGGGGATATCTGGCAAAATAACCTCCTATATACAGCAGTCATGGAAAAACCTCCCGCCTTCTTTGGTCGGGTACTCGTAGTTCACAACGTTACTTTAGTTTGACTTCTGTTTAATATTAATGCAGCATACATGAAGGTTTTCACTGTTTATGTGGTATTTGTAGAGAAGGACATGGCAGCGTGCAAAGTAGTCATGTGCCTCTATGAATTTTAATCATAGTAAAAAACAGGATTGTATGATGTAATCTCAAATCACCTCAAACACTAAACTTGACTACTTGCTTCTACCAGTCGTCAAACAACTTTGTAGACAAGAACGACAGTAAGAACGTGGGTAGTGGATGCCTTTTTCCAACCCCGACTTCAGCTAGTGAATTATTATTATTATTATTATTATTATTATTATTATTATTATTTTTATTATTATTATTATATTCATAAGGGTCACACAACGCTTGGGAATGGAAGGTAAACAAGTTCGAACCAGGGTAAGGGAAGGGTAACACGAATTCCTTATATCACGAGCCTTTGGAAGCATCAAGGACACCCCCCCCCCCCGCCCTTTGAAAAGACCCAAAAGTAAAGATTATTCGTTCATTGACTATATAAAGATCCATTTTAGTTATAAAAAAATATCACTGCTCCATTTAAATTCAACGTTCATTTTTTGTTGCTTTTCTTTACATTATTTTCAGAGTAATAATCAAACATGAAGAGAGATTGTTATTAGTCACGGGAAAGCACTAAATCCGCAAGGATTTTATAGTGCCTGAGGAATAGGAGACAATTTAGATTGATTCAAAGGAGGATAGCTCCAATTCCCTAAATCTAGAGCCCTTCAGCGGTATCTGGGCATCCTGTTGAAGGAAACGAAGAGAAATGACTAACCTGAGAGCGTCCTTCAGGAAGTGTTACTCTGTACTGATCACTGGTGTAATGGCTGTCCTCAGCCTTAGTCTCTGCGAGTGAAGGGATGGCACCAGACCCATTGTCCAGGTCCCAAAAGAGACCGTACTCCATGTTTTTCATAGGCTGATTGGGAAATTCATTTGTTAGTTAACGAGGTGAGATGAAACACGAAGAAAAATATGTCTTAAAGCTTTCTTATCTTGTATTACCTAAATATATGCAGCACAATACATTTAAAAATCACCAAGATACTTCGGAAATAACTCAAACCAAAATCATCTGATGCACCGAGCTTATAATAAGTTTTGCTGGTTGTTAATTAGCTTTAATTTTTTTTGCATCAAGTCTTAATTAGAAATTGTGTAAAGCGAGGTAGCCACCAGCTTTGCTCAAGTGAACTGCAGATTAACTCGCGTGAACCAGAGGTGTGTTGGCACCAGCAGGCACTTGGTAAACCACTGATTTAGTAGGAAAAGAGCCCCGATCGAGTTTCACTAGATAAAAACAAAGCTTTTCCTTTTTTCCTGGGCGCTTCGTAAAGACCTGAAGGAGCTGAAGCAGATGGTTTAGGTTCTTCATATAAAGCGGAAGGCTCAGCGGGAGCTGGAATTGGCTGAAGTGGAGTCTCTGGAAAGATAATCGGATGACTAGATTTCTCTTGTGAGGGAGACGGCTGAGGAGGTGGAGATGGAGTTTCATATAGACCTGAATGCACGTCTGAGGCTGCAGCTCCAGCTGCTGAAGTCTCGTGCAGCGTTGATAGATCAGATCCAGAAATTATGGTGTCTGGAGAGCCTCTTGCAGGAGACTGTACAATGTCTGGAGATTGTTCAATTGGTGTCTCAAGACCACCAGAAGAGTCAACAACGCCTGATACCACATCTACGGGGCTCACATGTCCTGAAGAAATTTGTTCACCAGCTGCACCTGATACTACATCTAAAGGGGTCTCATGTGCCGTAGAAATTTCTTCACCAGATGCGCCTGATACCAAACCTGATTGGGTCTCATGTGCTGTAGAAAGTTGATCACCATCAGCACCTGAAACCACATCTGAATGGGTCTCATGTGCTGTAGAAAGTTGATCACCATCAGCACCTGATACAGCTGAATGGGCTTCATGTGCTGTAGAAAGTTGATCACCCTCAGCGCCTGATACCACATCTGAATGGATCTCATGTGCTGTAGAATGTTGATCACCATCAGTGCCTGATGCCACATCTGAATGGGTCTCATGTGCTGTAGAAAGTTGATCAACAGAAGCGCCTGATACCACACCTGACGGGGCCTCATGTGCTGTAGAAAATTGATCACCAGCAGCACCTGATACCACATCTGAGTGAGTCTCATGTTCTATAGAAAGCTGATCACCAACAGCGCCTGATACCACACTTGATGGGGTCTCATGTACTGTAGAAAGTTGATCACCAGCTGCGCCTGATACCACACCTGAAGGAATCTCGTGTGCAATAGAAAGTTGATCACCAGCAACGCCTGCTACCACATCTGATGGGGTCTCATATGCTGTAGAAATTTGATCACCAGCAGCGCCTGATACCACACCTGAAGGTGTCTCGTGTGCAGTAAAAAGTTGATCATCGGCGGCGCCTGATATCACACCTGAAAGGGTCTCATGTGCTGTAGAAAGTTGATCAGGAGATGGCACAAGATCATCTAAATTTTCGTGTGGACTTAAGGGTTGGTCAGAGCCCGAGTCTACCACAACTGGTTTTCCATTTTCTACAGAAGGGTGAAGTGGTGTCTCAAGATTACCTGTGGGCAAAATAGAGCTGGGAATTACTTTAACTGGAATCTCTTGCTGCGGAGAAGGTTCAGCTTGTTCACTGGGGGTTTCATATAGAGTTGAGGGTACAAGAGGCTGTTTAGCTGCCTGACTTTGATTTTCTATAGAAGGCTGAACTAACTCACTGGAAGTTTCACTCAGAACTGAGGGTTCAACTGGACCTGAAACTGCACCATCTGAAGGGCCGAATTCTGCAGATGGGATTGGTACGATTTCACTTGGAATTTTAATCTCGCTCTCTGGTTTAGAAAGTACTGAATCTGCCTGCTTCGGAGTTTCAACAGAACCTTGAACTATGTCAAACGTTTCAGATTCATGAGGAGTATCAGGACCTGTAGCAAATTCGGCTGGAGGCTCACCCAGGCCTGAAGGCTCGACAGGCACTGGAGCTATTCCACCGATACTCCCGGCCTCGCCTGTATTTTTGTATGATTCAGCTGGTGTTTCATAGAGCCCTGACAGTTGTCCGGGCTGAGGAAATTTCAGAGGCTTTCCAGTACTGAGGCTAGGAAAGGGCAACTTGGCAGCCCACCTAGAGGAAACTGCGAAAGCTAACAGCCAAATGACCCGGAACACCTGAAACAAAATGAAAACAGTCCATATAAATAAAGGAGAGACATAACAATATTGTGTTTGAAACAATTCATAACCCGCAAACTGAAAATGAAACTAGAGGATGTTTCGGTTTATCTTAGATTTGACAATGAATCAGATCAAACCGTAATGTCGTATAGTTTCACATTCATATTATACACAGAAATCACCGCCTAACATTACACAGAGGAAGAGCTGTCACCTTATCAGGCAAAGCTAAAATACTGCGTATAAGAGTAAACGTGTGTAACACATTTTAAATAAAAAAATATAAAGTATGTCTAGGCTCGCTTAATATATTTTGTGCAGCACACTTTTCTCCTAACCATCAAGTGCTTCTCACCTGCCTCACTTAGCCATTAGATTTATATAAATAAATCTAGTGGTTTCTCATTAATGTTGTTAAAAATACCGTAAGAAATAACGATGTCAAGCTGCAAATTATTGTTACTGGCCTGTACATTATTATTATTATAATAAAAAAGAAGCGCTAAACCACAAGGGCTATACAGCATGCACTGGCCTGTATAGATATGTGTCCGCCAACACAGGCATCTGCTACACCACACAGAGTAAACGTAAGGCGGGTCGCTAAGACTCAGTTTCTGGACACACACTACACGCACCTTCATCCTGAACGCTCTGAACAAGACAAACCTTTGTACCTGCCCGCTTGCCTCTTATATACGCTGTTTACATCATGACGTCACACCTGAGAAATGTGACGCCATGGATGATGTTGATGTCACTTCCTCCCACCCGTACTTCTGTGTGGGTAGACGTTTTCAGAATTTGCTCTGGTTAAATCTATGGAACTTGTGCTCCGTGCTACATGCTACGTTTGATTTATTGTCTTAATCTTTTAATCATATATATTGCTTGTAGGGTAATAATTTGTAAGATAATTGATATTTAATTGGATGTTTACGAAATTTATTCTAATATGATAATGCTTTGTTTCAGTTATGTGATCATGGATCTTCTCAGACGCTACAGGTAAGAGTGCTTAAAAATCGTGCTCACAATGACCTCCACACCAGCTCTTGCATATTATATAATAAATTATGGATAAGGTTTAGATTTTAAAATATAACTCTCCACGCACCATCATTCTCTTTGCTCTCTCTCTCTCTCTCTCTCTCTCTCTCTCTCTCTCTCTCTCTCTCTCTCTCTCTCTCTCTCTCTCTCTCTCTCTCTCTCTCTCTCTCTCTCTCTCTCTCTCTCTCTCTCTTTCTCTCTCTCTCTCCCTCCTGCTGTTAACCCCCTTTTTTTATTTTTCGTGCTGTTACCATCCTCTTTGCTCACACCAGGTGTAACAAGACTCAAACCCGGGTATCTGAACCCTTCTACATAAACAGGGGCAGCAGATGTAGGGAGACTTTTCCCTGCCCGGGATCAAACCTAAAACCTTCCAATTGTGAGCGAAACACTAACCACTGAGAAATACTTAACAAAAAAAAAAATTGTAAATGTGGCTATACTTTAATAGCATCAAGATGCTAGTAGAAGTGCTGAGAGAGAGAAATGAAGGGGGAATGAAACTATACCAGGACTAAACCACCATCTATATTCTTCATCTATAACCACCATCTATATTCTACATTTATAACCACCACCTGTAGTCTACATCTATAACCATCATCTATATTCTACATCTATACCCACCATCTATACTCAAGGGATTCTAACACTACACAAGAGATTCTTATAAGACGAGAGGTGTTTGCTAGACTTGGGAAGGTATGGACGACATTTACCAACCTGAACACACACTAGTTACTATTCAACATATATATAAAATCAGTTCCTGAGCATAACAGAAAAAAGCTACCTCAAGGTTTTAGTGTCTTAGTTACTAGTTGTCAAAGGCATTTATCGATAGTGTGTGTGTGTGTGTGTGTGTGTGTGTGTGTGTGTGTGTGTGTGTGTGTGTGTGTGTGTGTGTGTGTGTGTGTGTGTGTGTGTGTGTGTGTCTGTGTCTGTGTGTCTGTGTGTGTGTGTGTGTGTGTGTGTGTACTCACCTATATGTGGTTGCAGGGGTCGAGTCATAGCTCCTAGCCCCGCCTCTTCACTGGTCGATACTAATTCACTCTCTCCCTGCTCCATGATACTTGTCATACCTCTTCTTAAAGCTATTTATGGAACTTGCTTCCACTACCTCACTCTCCAGATTATTCCAGTTCCTGACAACTCTAAGTCTAAAGAAATACTTCCTAACATCCCTATGACTCATCTGGGTTTTCAGTTTCCAATTGTGTCCCCGTGTTTCTGTATCCCATCTCTGAAACATTCGATCCTTGTCCACGTTGTCAATGCCTCTTAGTATTTTATACGTTGTTATCATGTCCCCTCTATCCCTCCTATCCTCTAATGTCATCAGGTTGAGTTCCCTTAACCTCTCCTAATAAGACATACCCCTCAGTTCCGAGATTAATCGTGTTGCAAATTTTTGCACTTTCTCCAATTTCTTGACGTGTTTGACTAAGTGAGGGTTCCATACTGGCGCTGCATATTCCAGTATACGCCTTACGTACACTGTGTAAAATGTAGTGAATGACTCCTTACTCAGATGTCTAAACGCCAATCCCAGGTTTGCCAATCTCCCATATGCTGCAGCAGTTATTTGATTGATGTGTGCCTCAGGGGGCATGTTCGTTATAATGCTTACCCCAAGATCCTTTTCTTTAACTGACGTTTGCAGCTGTTGGTTTCCCCAATCTTCATGACCTTACACTTACTGAGGTTATACTCCAGGAGCCATTTGTCGGACCATACTTGTAGTTTGTCCAGATCCCCTTGTAATCTTAACTGATCCTCTCCCACTTGTATTCTCCTCATCAGTTTCACATCATCAGCGAACAGTGACACTTCTGAATCTATTCCTTCCACCATGTCATTCACGCATACAAGAAACAGCACCGGGCCTAGTACTGAACCTTGTGGAAACCCACTCGACACATTCGCCCACTCCGACACTTCAGCACGTACCAACACACGTTGTTTCCTTCCTGTCAGGTATTCACTGATCCATTGCAGTACTTTTCCCTTCATTCCTGCTTGCTCTAATTTTTGCAAAAGTCTCTTGTGTGGTACTGTGTCAAAAGCATTCTTGCAATCTAAAAAGATGCAATCTACCCATCCCTCTCTCTCCTGTCTTACTTCTGTATCTGGGCCCACCGCCTCTGAGGTATCGAGTTCTTCTAGCAGTTTCTTCACCTCTACCTTGGTTATGTGTATTGTGTCCAGCGCCTGCTGGTGCACCCTACCTCCACAGTTTGCTGGAAGCATTCATGACTCTATTGTGAATACTTCTCTAAATCTTTAGTTTAGTTCATCACATACTTCTTGGTTACTCTTCGTGAGCTCCCCTCCTTCTTTCCTCAGCCTGATTACCTGGTCCTTGACTGTTGTTTTTCTCCTAATGTGACTGTATAACAACTTTGGTTCAGATTTGGCTTTTGATGCTATGTCGTTCTCGTATTGCCTCTGGGCCTCTCTCCTTATCCTTGCATATTCGTTTCTGGTTCTTCTGCTCAGCTCCTTTTTTCTTGAGTCCTTTGCCTTCTAAAACCTTTTCCATGCTCTCGCACACTTGGCTTTGGCCTCTTTACACCTCCAATTAAACCATGGGCTCACTTTGGTCTTACCATTTTTTCTGTTGCCCTTTGGTATGAACCTTTCCTCTGCCTCCCTGCACTTAGTGGTTACTGTTTCCATCATTTCATTTACTGTCTTTCCATCTAGTTCTCTTTCCCACTGCACATCATGCAAGAAACTTCTCATTCCTATGTAGTCCCCTTTTTTGAAGTTTGGTTTCTCTCTTTGTTCTCGTGCTGCTGTATTCTCCACTGTTAACTCAACAAGGTATTCAAAACTCAGGACATCATGATCACTAGTGCCAAGGGGTCTTTCGTGGGTGATATCCCTTATGTCTGAACTATTCAAGGTGAATATGAGATCCAGCCTTGCGTGTGTGTGTGTGTGTGTGTGTGTGTGTGTGTGTGTGTGTGTGTGTGTGTGTGTGTGTGTGTGTGTGTGTGTATGTGTGTGTGTGTGTGTGTGTGTGTGTGTGTGTGTACTCCACCTATTTGTGGTTGCAGAGGTCGAGTCATAGCTCCTGGCCCCCGCCTCTGTGTGTGTGTTTGTGTGTGGGTGTTGTGTGATTTATGTGTGTGTGTGGTGTTGGTGTTGGGTTTGTTGGTGTGTGTGTGTTTTTGTATTTTGGGTCTGTTGGGGTGTCTGTGTGTCTGTTGTGTTCTGTTGTGTGTGTTGTGTGTGTCTGTGTGTTTTGTCTGTGTTGTGTGTGTGTTACTCCCCTTTATTTTACTCCCCTAGTTGAGGTTCGGGGTCGAGTCCGACTCCGGGCCCCCGCCCCCCCACTGTCGCTACTGGGTCACCCCCTGAGCCGTGATTTTAAATCTACCTCTTTAAAGCTATGTATGGATCCGCCTCCCACTCGTTTCCCAAAAAATTCCACTTACTGACTACCTGTGGCGAAAAAAAATACTTCCAACTCCCGTATTCATCTTGTCTTTAGCTTCCAAAATGTGTCCCCTTTTACTGTGCCATCTCTGGAACATCCCTGTTTTTGTCCACCTTGTAAATTCCTCCATTTTTTTGTATGGTTATCATTCCCCCCATCCTCCTGTCCTCCATGTCGTCAGGTTGTTTTCCCTTTTAACCTCTCCTCGTGGGACATACCCTTACTCGGGACTAGCCCTTTGTTGCAAACCTTTGCATTTTCTCTAGTTTTTTACGTGCTTGGCAGGTGGGGGTTCCAAACTGGTGCCGCATACCCCAATATGGGCCTAACTATCGGTGTACAGGTCCTGAACGATTCCTTATTAAGATGTCGGAAGCTGTTCTGGGGTTTGCTGGGCCCCAATGCTGCAGCAGTTATTTGGTTGAGTGCGCTTCAGGAGTCCTGGTGTTTACTCACCCAAGATCTTTTTCCCTTGAGGGGGTTTGTAGTCCTGACCCCCTAGACTTACCCTTTGGGGCCTTCTTTCCTTCCCCCAAAACTTCAGACTTTGCACTTGGTGATTGAACTCCAGGACCAATTCTGGGCCAGTTCTGCAGCCTGTCCGACCCTTGTAGTTCTGCCCGGTCTTCGACGAGTTATTTTTTCCATCAACTTTACGTCATCTGCAAAACAGGACACCTCAGAGTCTATCCTTTCCGTCATTCGTTTACAAATCCGAAACACACTGTCCTAGGACTGACCCCTGCGGGGCCCCGCTGGTCACAGGTGCCCCCTCTGACACCTCCCACGTACCATGACTCGCTGCTGTCTTCCTGACAAGTATTTTTTCCCCCGATCCTTGTAGTGCCTTCCCTGTACCCCTTGGGCCTCCAGTTTTTTCAAAACCCTTTTTCTTGTGTGGAACGTGTCAAACGCCTCTTGCAGTCCAAAAAAATGCAATCCACCCCCCCCCTCTCTTTCTTACGCGTCACCAGTCATAAACTCCCGTAGGTTTGTGACACAGGGTTTCCCTCCCTAAACCATGCTGGCTGCTGTTGATGAGATCATTCCTTTCTAGGGTTTTCCACCACTCTTTTCCTGATAATCTTCTCCAGATTTTGCATACATACAGTCATGACACTGGTCTGTATTTATCTTCAGTCTTCTCCTTTTTTAAAGATGGGACTTCAT